CTGCATTGGTCCTGTTTTTGCCTTCTGACTATTGTAAAAGTAATGACTTTTAGAAAATAGTCTTGATGAAGTGGAAATGCAGATGTTGATCAGTATTTGTATCCAGGTAGCTGAGAACTGGCGGTCTGTTGTTCATTCTACAGTTAGAGGAGACTATCAAAAGAAATCTGATGCACAGCCATAGCTGAGAGACCTTCTAGTCCTCGAGGTAATGAGAGGGGAAACTGAGTCGGAGAGAGGAACACCAACTTTCTTCTATAGTCTTTGGACAAGTATAAAGGTGCTTTTGTTTTCTTTGCTAAAACTGCCATTTGCTGTGGAATCAGAATTCCAGTCTCATGGATGCCAGGCCACCAGCCTTTATTGTAGAGGTGTTAGTGCTCAGGGATTGTAAGGTCTGCTGTAGGACACTGCAGACTCCCACCTCCTTCCATGCCAGCTTTCATGGCTGAAGGTGAGTGCTCTTGGTGTAAAATTTGAGATAATAGAACAGAATAGGCTATTTCAGGTGGAAGGAACCTACAGCAATCATCCAGTCCAGCTGCCTGACCACTTCAGAGGTAACAAGGTTTAAGTGTCTTATTAAGGGCATGGTCCAAATGCTTCTTAAACACTTACAGACTTGGGGCATTGTCCACCTCTCCAGGAAGCCTGTTCCAGTGATTGATCACCCTCTCAGTAAAGAAATGCTTCCTAATGTCCAGTCTAAACCTCTCCTGACCCAGCTTTGAACCATTCCAGTGCGTCCTAGCACTGTACCCCAGGGAGAAGAGATCAGCACCTCCCTCTCCACTTCCCCAGGAAGCTGTAGAGAGCAGTGAGGTCACCCCTCAGTCTCTTTTTCTCCACACTAGACAAACTGCCTTCCAGCCCTCTGGGAATAAGTGCTGGGAGCTGACCTTGGGGATCATCTCACTCAGCCGATGCTGGTTTCTGGTGCAAGTGCCGTTGGAGATCTGACAGCTTCCACTGCACGGAACTTTACTGTGTGAGAAATATCGCCTAGGAATATCTGATTTTATGTGGTATTTTAATTACATTTTCTTTTTCTTAAATGTTAATTTAAAATTTAGAAATCATTATAAACTTGTTGAGGCCTAAATAAATTGCAATATATTTAGAGTCTGATTTTTTTTTTTCTTTCAAAATAGAGGCATTTAACATGGTTATTGCTGATTTTTAAAGTCACACTTACAAAGTTGCTAGCTAAGCTGCTGGAATAAAAGCATGCTGCCTTGCTACAAATCAGTTTTTAAAACAGCAGTAGTCTTTTAGGCTCAGAATATTTCCTTTATTTGCGTTTGCTCAGATAGATTGGTTCAATGACTAACCTGTTGTAAGCAGGCAATTAAACTGGGAACTCCTCAGGTTGGAAAGCTGTCCTCTTCCAGGCTGTAAACATGAGTAAGAGCTGCCTGCTTCTCCTAACAGTTTGACAGGAGAGGACCAGGTGAGAACATCAAGAAGCAGCTGGGAAGCAAGGGACAGTCTTTTGGCTAGAGTGGGTCACCTGCCTCTCATAAACTTGTCTGGGTGCTCCTTTGCATCTCTCACAGCATCTGCTGTACGTTGGGTACTTGTGGGAAATGTGGGAAAAGAGATGGAAAGGACGCAATCTGTAGACCACCACCATGCTACCTCTTTACTTTCACCTGAAGGAAAGGAGGTGATGAGCATTGGGTCAGGTGACTTGTCGGGTAGCTGGAAGCTGATGAGAGACCTTAACCTTTGAGGTAGGTAACTTCAAGAGCCGCTTTCTGTCCCTGTGTTTCTGTGAGTGCTGTGGAGCCTGGAAGGGAGCAGTGTGAGTCATTAACTGGAGGTTATACTGTGCTTGAGAAATCAATTTTGT